GTAGTAGTAGTAGTAGTAGTAGTAGTAGTGTATGGTGGCGCCTGCACCTCCATAGGCATCAGTGAATTGTGCCTGAGTACATAAGAACGTTGGACAGCACTGATCTACTGTAACCATAAAGGGGGCACGTGGTAGCGTAGTTGGTCGAGGCACTGTGCTACAAGATAACAGTTGTTGCCTCCTGTCACTACAATGTAAAACTACATTTGTGTTCAACCGTCACATTATTTCTTGAATGGATATTTTTGTTAGTGATAATGTTTGTCTGACAAATGTTTAACCCAAGGTGCGCTGTCCTGTGGCATTGAATCTAATTTTACAACTGAAGTTATTCTGTCATACTGTTGCAGGGATCACCATGATAACTGTTTTTTGTTGTCAAATGGGGAAGGTGGTAGTGATGCAAGAAAAGTAGCCGTTTACGTCATCCACCCTGAACTCCAGTTTCATTCAAGTGTTCCCAGCATAGGTTACTTTTATAACCTCATTTCTAATTCTGCTGTTTGCCAGAACACCTTTGAAGGGCACTGGTTCATTACTGAAGCATATCAGGACCATGTTTGTGTAAACAGTTCTCATTGTTTGGGCTGTAGTACTTGCCCTCCCATTTTCTGTACTTATTTCTGGGGTATGCTGTATACCTCTGTGTTTGCATTTGGGATGAGGTGAGATATGATGTATAATTTTTGCTCTTTGCAATGCCGTGATTAACGGTAGGTTGAAAAGTGTACATTTTCATCATGTGTTATGTAAGACTTCAGGTGGGGAGTACCATGTTAGGAAATGTAATGCTGTCTAACTTGGTGTCTATCAATTTTACATTTTGCCTGCTCAGTATATTTTTCAGTTTACTATGATCCTCAGGATAAACTGAAAATGTTTACCTGAATGTCATTAGTTGGTTGCTCTTTATAATGGAGATGTAGTGTGTTGTCTCTAAGATTAGAACTGAATTTTCAGTCGTGTAGATGAATTTCATGCATTAGAAGATTAATTAATATTAGTTACTCATCGTCCAGACAGGCTCTACTTAACTAATTTAAGCACTATGCTATGAAGGCATATGGGGGAGTGGATGTGTAGATCCATATTTTCTTGACCTTGGCACTACTTGGAGGTGAGTGATCAGCTTCATGCCCCACCCACTTTACCTCCAAGCCCCAGTCGCTGGCTTCCCACTGTGGCAGATTCGATCCTGGGTCTGGTCAAGTGGGATTTGTGATGGACAAAGTGGTGCTGCAGCAGGTTTTCTCCGAATACTTCGGTTTCCCCTGCCAGTCTTCATTCTACCAAGTTCTCCAGCATCATAATCACCCGTGGCGGGCTACAATAGGCCAATCAGTGGCCGTTATGCCGAGTGGACCCAGTAGGACTCCACCCCCAACAAACCAAATTTTGAGGTTTTCACGGCGATGACTATGAAGAAAGTCGTCTTCTGGGATCTGGCGCTGTGTATTCTTGGTTTTAACCGACGTTTCAGAGGAACATATCGCCTCCATCTTCAGGGTAGTTGAGTTGCATGCGAATACAGATATATCTGTATATACAGATTGCAGCTACAGCTATCTGTATTCGCATACAACTCAACTACCCTGAAGATGTAGGCAATATGTTCCTCCAAAACGTCGGTTAAAACCAAGAATACACGGCGCCAGATCCCAGAAGACGACTTTCTTCAAACCGAATTTTATTTATCCATTATGTGTACCTTCAGGTGAAAATTTAAATGAATATTCTTTTACATTTAGAAGAAAATGAATATTTAGATGGTATGATTTTGTCAGTGCTGTTTTCACTAGTTCCACTCATTTCTATGGTGTCTTTGCTATCAGTTGCATATTTAGTTGAATGTTTTTTTTTTTGTGGGTAACAGGGTGAAGTTATGTATATTCATAACACAAGCTGAGTCTGAAAGTTCATAATTATGATTATTTTGTTTTCAGGTCCTTCCTGACATGTATTCCCCATTTGTATTTTGTCACTCCATTAATGAACATGCAGGACAGAGAGTTAAAGGAACATAGAAGAAATTTTGGAAAGAGGATTTTGAGGCAAGAAACCCAATCAGTGGAAATAAGAGGCAGAAAACTACATGGCCACAGAATCCATTGTGGTGTGGCTTTCTTTCTTGCCCCAGTAAGTGAACATCTTTTTATGTATATGATTTGGGGTATTCATAATAGTGAGTGTTTTTATTGGTCTTCTGGGCCGTGAAACCATGTGGCTTTGTAGATGGATGATAATAATAATAATACTCTGTAGAAGTCACTGCTTTGTACAGGATTGAAGTGTGAGTAGGGTGATAATTTGGCAAACTGATTCTGATGTGAAGCAGTTATTGTTCCACCATGCACAGCCACTTATTCTGTTGAGGTTAATACTTTGTTCACTTCATATTTCTTCATGTCACTGATATCACACTGCTCTTTGTCTTTGAGCTTCTCTCTTGTCACTGAATGGAACTGAAAACTGATTTACCACTCTCACTTACTGACTGACTCGCAAATGGTCTGCACTGACTGAGTACTAACAGACTTATGACTCACAATAGCCAGTGCTTCACATCTGCTTCTGTACTGCACTGAATTAACTGAGAAAATATCTACACTATGCTTCAGATGATCTCAGCTGGACTCATAGCTATGTTATATAGGTGTGTCATCATTAAGGAGAATTCCCTTGCCTTTTTAAGCAACCTCAGCATTCGGCATCAGCTGAATGGTCTCTGGAACTGTATAGAAACAGGAGTGTTTTGATGTTGCAATTGAATGAGAGGCAGGCAGTGTAACGCACATGTACCCCTCACCCACCCTACACTCAGTTATATTCTATTTCCATTTATGTTTATGTAGTTTAACAGAAACATTACAGCTTCCATGACATATTGGCAAGGTGTCATGGAGCAACAAAAGAACATAACTACTAGCAGGGAAAGAAGGTAGACACTTGGACTGGTCAGTAGGAACAGATAAAGAGGGACTACCGCAGGACTCCTGCAGGCAGGAAGAGTATGAAAATAGCTATTATTGTGGTTCTGAAGAGTGTCAAATCAAGGAAGTTGTTATTTTATCCATGGAGAAAATCTTCCATTCCTTTAGGATGTGTATGAGAGGCTTCATGAAGAAGCACAGGTTTCAGTGGTATATTCTTATGAACATAATAATGAACTTTCAGGTGCATAAAAGGCAGGAAATTTCTTGACCATCTGAGGGAACATTATCTCCTCAAAAGGACTACTACTCATAGTCTTGGAAGTACATAACATGTAGGACAAGTGTGATATACGGAATGAAGTATATAATCAGATGTTTCTTATGTGATATAGCCCATTTTGAGTGAACTTTTAAGTTATATTTGTTTGCACATAACAGATTTAAGGATGGAATACAAAGATCCCAAGCGAGAGCATTTCAGAGCTGAGTGTACAGTTGATGGTACTTATGAAGATAATGCTCCAAGATTTACGTTGGAGGCTATGGCTAATCTCCCATTGCTCCCAGATGATGTTCTGCTGTGCATTATGAAGTATCTGGGGCCAGTTGAACTTCATAACTTGAGCAAGTATGTGCTGTTTTGAGTAGTGCTTCTTCTGCAGCATGAATAAAAGTTTGAGTTTTTAGATCTATATTGAGAAAGAAGAAATGTTCAAAACAACCAGTATTTCATTGTGCCCTTTATACGTGTAACAGAGCCCATGCCCCCTTACCTATTTGTATTGAGTGCAGTGCCTACACAAAATTTTGTCAAGTTATTTTGTTTTTTCTAGAGAGGGAATTGTTTTAAGGACTACAGTAAGCTGTTGATACTCGTAGTATGACATGCTTGAGGTTGAAAATGCAAGTTTCAGACTACATAATGTATGTAAGATTTGAGGCTTTCACGGCGGTGACTATGAAGAAATCAGTCTTCTGGGATTTGGCACCGTGTATATGTGGTCTGCTTTTACCGGCTCTCACGGTCTTTTCGCTTGCGGATTTCTTATATTTTTCTTCTACCCTGAAGATGGAGGCGATACGTTCCTCCGAAACGTCGGTTAACACCACATATACACGGTGCCAAATCCCAGAAGACTGCTTTCTACATAATGTATGTTCAGTGTCAGATACTTTACACAACTGAAGGAGTTTCAGGAGTGTACAATATATTTATGAAATATATTTTATTGTAACGCAGATGGCCAGAGCATTTCTAGGCAACGGCCTGTAAACAACCTTCATTTGAGTGCCTTACAGCAGTAAGATGAATGTTTATAGCTTGTTGCTAGGCAACAGTCAGCACACCAATGGACTGACAAGATATCACATGATGTGTTTTCTGTGTGGTGTAGCATTGCAGTTCTTTTTAAGACTTACTTTTCTTCAGAGCTGAGTAATTGTACATGTACATCTGTAGAGTCATTCAATAGATGTTGATAAAACCTCATACAGTGCTTATAATATAGAAGTATTGGATATTATAAGTTTCATCTGCTTCATTCATTTAATGGCCCACGTTGCTACATTTTTAGTAATCTATAAGGCATAGAGCTAAGCGATTTCATGAAAATCATTGATTGATTGATTGATTGATTTAACATCCATAACTGTTACATTATATATCACTTATATAGTAACAGCTGTGATAGTGCAGTGGTAGGTCACATGGATTCCACAAGCACTCTAGCAATATTTGCAGCACACATTAGGTAAATATTAGTGTATGTAGCATTATATATGTGGAGATAGGGAAGAAAGTATTTATTGAATAAATAATCAAATTAAACTGTATAAATATGAGGGTTGGAACTTTAATAGTGGCAACACTGCTGTAGAGACACCATGCAACAGAACCAAATAATGTCGCTTATACCACACGTTAGTTACATACCTACCTTACCTCAGAGCAAATGGACTGTCCCTTCCCACATCACGCACATGCACAGTGATGAGAAAAACTTAGCCTCGTGTTAGCTGGCGGTCTAATGTAGTGTTGTCATGATGTTTTCGAAACAGGAACAACAGACTTGGATAAAGATTGAATGTGCCAGAGGCTGTACAGCACGACATAGTCTTCAAGGTCTTCAAAAGGCTTGTGGGGAATCTGCACTGCCTTACAGAACAGTGGCAAGGTGGGTAAAAGCCTTCAATGAGGGACGCCAAACTATGGCAGACAGACATGCTTCGGCCACATCGTCCTAGTGTCAGTGAAGAAGTGTATGCTCTTTCCGCGTTACTGGAGAGTGATCGACGCCATACGATTCATGAACTGGCCCGAAGGACAGGCTTAGTGCATACGACTGTGCTTCACATTCTGAAGGAATGCTTGGGCATGAGAAAAATTGCATCATGATTGGTTCCGCATGATTTGACGGAAATGCAGAAATGGCTATGTTACGACGCTGATTTGTTTGATCGATGGGCCTGGGAAGTGCTGTACCATCCACCATACTCCCTGGACTTAATTAAGCCTTTGTGAATTTGACTTGATTCCTAAGATGAAGGAACCACTTTGTGGCATTCGCTTCAGAACTGTTCCAGAGATTCTTCAGGCAGTAGACCACTCCATTCGAGCTATCAACACAACAGGCACTGCTAAAGGTATCCTATGACTTCCACATTGCTGGCAGTGGGTTGTACTCAATGCTGGTGACTACATTGGAGGACAGTAAAACTTCGAAACATGCATCTATTTTGTATCAGTTGTAAATAAATAGTTGCCACTATTAATGTTCCAACCCTCATATTTATCAGTATACTTTATACATTGTAAACCCCCTCCCAAACACGCATGCACACGCTCTTGTCTCTTTTGTGAGAATTGAGGCAGCAGACTATATTAAATTTGATATACCAACTTGTTAAAAATTATTTTATTTTAAGCAATTATGTGGAACTCAGGGTTATTTGTTTTTCTTATGATAGCATTAGAACCAGATGATCACTGGACCTTCCAATTGACTGCTGTGTGTGGTTGCAGGATAACAGAGCGGTTAGGGCACCTTGCATCTGATAAAAGCTTATGGAGGACTATTGACTTCAGGCCCCACAAACTCACAAGCACTCAGCTATTGAAGTATGTGAATTATTTTAAGGAATCCACAAAATTTCTGGCAGTGAGAGGTTTTGCATCTGAAGCTCCAAACCTTAAGAGGAGGGATGGTGTCCTTACACCAAAACTGCTGGAAGAGATAGTTAAAAAGTGCCCAGAGTTGGAAACACTGATTCTAGATGAATATTATGGACCAGCATGCAAGGTAGGTACAGTCTGTAAACAGGGGAAAGAAATTGATTCTTGAAGTGTTAACTGAATACAACATACTGTGACTGTTAACTCTCATGCATTTTAGTCTGAAGATCTGTGGTTTGGTACTTTTTCGTCATTTTTCTGTGCATAATTGATGCATTGAACAAGGGAGCTTACGTGGTAATGAATTGTATTTAGTTCATATTGGTCGAATTTCTTTATGGTATTCTTCAGTTTACTCAAGCAAATGCTGGCTAGTAAAATGAAATAACCCATAACAACTTCCTCCTCAGTGATTTCCAGTTCATGGTACAATATCAGCCTGTCATGAAGATTACCATCTTCTGTCATGTGACATCTTGTAGTTTGGTAGATATCTGCCAACATTTCAGCAGAATATGACTCCTCCATCTTCAGGATACTCTGCCACCCAGAAGATAGAGACAGTATGCTCATCCAAAACATCCATTGGCCAAGCCTGTTGTGTTTTAATAACAGTCTACACAACATTTGTAGATGGTTTGCCAATTATGACCATCTGACTTCCAACAAAATGAAATTGCAATACTCTGTTCATTAATATATTTTTATTTGATAATTTTTACCTGATGATGATCTCTATGTGATCAAAACATATTGTGATTTTAGGGAATAAAAACAATTAGTTGGTTATAATTGGTATATATGACTGTTTTGTAGATTGTTAATAAAACACGACAGGGCTTTGATCACACACAACAGTATGTGAACAGTAAAAACTTACCAGACTACATTTTATTACATCCCCATCACTGATTGGTCCTCATCCTGCCTAGTCTGCCATGTTCAGCAGCAAATAATCTCTGAATTTATGAATGCTGTGAACTAACATTAATTCACAAACTTCTTTACATATTTTTTGGACGTGATGTATCATGTTCATCTCACGGGAGAAGGGACTGATGGCATGATCTTTCATCAGCCTGCATCAAACATTGTCTTTCAGTGCCTTGCTTTACATATTCTAGCATAGCATGAGACTTCTCAAACCCCCACGTATGAATTATTATCATTAATGTAGCTGTTCGGGCTCATGGAAGAATGATGAAGGGCTTCATGTGCTGACAGAGCTGTGTCTTGTATGCATTTAATCACAGGCACTTGTAAATAATATCATGGACTGTGGAATATGGCTGCTGTAATTCCCAGTTTACACTTCTTTTTAATTTACTGCAATGCAGTTTGTATTGTGGTGTCCACATGGCTTGTATTGTTTGTTCCACTTTGCCACATATATATACAGCCGTGTACTTTGGAATTGATAACATGAAGTGTTGTCATGTCATGTTATCGTTGTTATATTCTTTGAAGATATCTCAGTATGAACTGGAGAATATTTGTTGCTTGATACTACTAGCCTGTTACTCTGTATATGAAATCCTCCTCTAACATGCTTCAGAATTACCTTTATCAAGGTAGGCACTGTTATTTTATTTAATAACAGATACTCATTTATCATCTGAAACATGCTATACTATGTATACAAGGTGCAGCAATAAAGAAACTGGATTCATGCTCTAACCCTTTATTGAAAAAATCAGACAATCGAAATGTTATCCCCTTCAATGTAGTCCCCTCCCCGATCCCTACACCACTCCATGCGAATTTTCCACTGTTGGAAGCAGTGCTGCAGGTCATCTTGTGTTATGCTCTTCAAGAGTTGCGTCGCTTTTGCTTTCACTGCATCCACGGACTCGAACCTGGTCCCTTTCAGCGCAGACTTGATTTTTGGGAAGAGAAAANACATTACCCTCCGGATATCGAAAAAAAACAATCATCATTGCTTTGAATTTGGATTTGGTCATGCGCGCTTTCTTCTTCCTAGGGGATTTGGGGCTCTTCCAATGCATGGATTGTCGCTTAGTCTCTGGATCATATTGAAGAATCCAAGTTTCGTCACACGTAATTACGTTTTGGAAGAAATCAGGATCAAGAGTGTCAACACAGCAATTCACTTGATGTTCCTTTTGCTGGGGGGTAAGGATTTTTGGCACCACTTTAGCACACACCTTTTTCATGCCCAGATCGTCATGCAAAATCTGTCTAACACTTTTCTTATTGATGTTAGTAAGTTCAGAAATTGCTCGAATGATCAGTCGACGATCTCTTCGAACAATTCTAGCGACCTTCTCCACATTCTCTGGAGTTTTCGCAGTGGGAGGACGGCCCGATTTTGGATCGTTCCCGACGTTTTTCCTACCCTCCATAAACTTCTTAAACCACTCGAAAACTTGCGTGTGAGATAGACACTGATCACCATATACTTCTGTCAATAAATTGTAAGTTTCACTGGCAGATTTTCCAAGTTTTGTGAGGAATTTGATGTTAACACGTTGTTCTACATTAGCCCGCAGCATTATTCTGATGGAGCTTAGACACACGATCCGCTTCTAACAATGGTTGCGGCCAGACTAATCGATGCGCGTGAATGAAACTTTGTGTGACAGTAGAGGGAAGTCCACGGGTCAATGCCCTATCATCCTCTTTGTCATGGACGTGGCCGGAAATGAGTCATAAAAGTATTCCGGTTTCTTTATTGCCACACCTTGTATTTTGGTCCAAGCAGTGATGGGCATCTCCAAAAAATATCTCCGTGACAACTTTAAAATTTTGTAAATGTACTACTGGTAAGATATTATGTATATAAACTGAAGGAACTATTATTTTCTCTTACAGTTGAGTATAGAACTGCTCCCTTCGACCATTTGTCGTCTGTCTATGAGAGATTGCGTGATAACAGATTTGGATCCTCAGAATTCATATTTCCATGATATGTATGCGCATGTACCTTATATAAAGGTAATTAGTATACAATAAGTGAATAATTAGATGTTACTTGAATTAATCCTTTTATAGGATAAACGAAAGTGTAGGAATGCATTTCAGAGTATCACGCCATGTACAGCATTATCTAAATGTGTCCAGGGGCATCCTGGCTTCCTCGTAAGAAAGATCCTTAAGAAGATTGGGTATGTTCACAGGCATGTAGACTGAAATGTAGACCAACAACATATACTATGTAAAAGGGGCATGCAGTACTGTGTTGATTGAGGAACTATGCTACAGACCAGAAGGTCACGTGTTCGATTCTAACAGAAATGAGTACCAGGAATCTTCCACCCAGGTTAAGGGCAGCAGGTGTATAAGGCTGATAACCTTACCACCATCTCTGAGCCAATTGTCTAGAGAAAATGTGTGAGCCTCGATATTTCACAGCCCTGTAGGCCTTCACGGACTGTTTTCGTTTTCACTTTACCTTTTATATACAATGTAAAATTGTTATAATAATAACAAAAGGTAAAGTTGTCCCTGTGCTTAATTACTTAAGCACTATGCCTTGAAGACATGGGGGAGTGTAGGTATAGCTCTACCATTCTTGACCTTGGCACTAGATGCAGGTGAGTGGTCAGCTTTATGCCCCTTCCAGTTTACTCCTGGGGAAAGAGCCCTCAGTACCTATTGGATAGTAGACTGGGTGAGCCCCAGTGTCAGTCTGGACGCTGTGGAGAAAAGAAAAATCTTACTATGCTAGGAATCGAACCTGGGCAGTGAAGCCCATAGCCAGTCACTACCCCTACTGAGCTATCCAGACTCCTATTTTAATACTAACAATGATAATTATTACCAGATAATTCTTCTAATAATGTAACAAAGTTTAAATATTTTGGAATGACAGTAACAGATTAAAACTGCAGTTATAAAGAAACTAAAAGCAGATTAACTTCAGAGAAAGCTTCCTACCATTTAGTTCAGTATCATATGTCTTCTTGTCCTGAGTCTAAAAATATAAAAATTCCTGTACACAAAACTATAGTTTTACATATTATTTTGTATAGGAATGAAACTAGGTCCCTTAACCTAAGGCAGAACGTAGAATTCTTACTGTTGCAGATAATAAGGAATGGTGTAAAGAATTGATGTTGTATTGCACCCTCTACTGCAGTTCCACTCTGGAAGTCAGTTCTAATTGGATTCAACCAGATGTGCTTCACATTCAAGGGTGTCTTGACTGCTCATTGTCGGTATTCTGAATGACACTAGATCAGTGAATCAGTTGTGACAGTGACAGACTCAACTGGATATGTTCTCACCTGAGGGCAGAAACGGTCTATTTTCTGAAATGTGTTGTATTTGAAATACTAGACAATGGACAGTGTTCAGAGACTCAGTAATCCATAGCCGAAGGAATTTGTGATAGGGTCCTGAGAAGTATATTTGTACTAAGAGAAAGCATTAGGAGGTCGGAGAAAGTTAGCATAACCAGTATTTCATAATCTATACTCTTCACAAATCTTATTAACCAGAAACCCAAAGGGAAGATCTAGGCATAGATGGGATACCAGTGTCAGTCATCACAGATTTCGATGACTGACCAGCTGACTCCAGTCACTGTTTCACATGCAGATCAGGCTGAGGCAAACAGTAGCTTTGCCTATAAGTGTAGCGTGCAGACACAACACTCATCATGTCAAACCCTGATGATGGAGGTAGAGACAGTCTCTGAAGCATTGGATACCAACTCCACATTCACACAGCTGATCATCCAAAGAGGACATCATTGTATACTGTTGCTGTGAGAACTTGAAATCATATGTAGCAATACAGTTTCAGGTTGCATAGAAAGTATGACATTTGTCTAGCTAAAGCAATGTCTTAGAGAAATTAATAGTTGTTCAGTTAATCAAGGAACACCTAGACTTATGGAAGGGGAAGGTCCATTGCTGTATTTACAAGTGCCATGATCCTATTTTGAACTTCCAGAATTCTTGTAAATAGAAAACATTTCATGAAATATTTATTGAATTTGTACAATGACAAGACATTTCTTGGTCACCAAAATTTTGAAGGAAAGTGGCTCTGGTCAATAACTGTGAACTGGTTTGAAGTTGTAATAGATTTTATTCAGCTGTAAATCTGTTGCAGATGTTGAGCATTACAAGAAAACTGTTCCAAATACAAGGAATTTGCTTAATGAATTTGACACTACATAAATTTTGATGCGTATGAATACTAAGAATCTTCCTGGGTGGTAAGGGGCAGCCAGCATGCAAGGCTGTTAATCTCACCATCATCTGTGAGCTGATTGTCTAGAAAATATGGGAACCTCAACGTCTCCCAACCCTGTTGGCCTTCATGGCCCGTTATAGGGATAGGTCTACCTTTTATATCTTTTACCTAATCCAGACACTCCAAAAAGTTTACAGCCGAGACTGAAAGTGGCTGTTATTGCAGGTCTTGATACTGAGTAACTGTAAGTGGGTCTCACCTCATGATTTTATGGCCATTAGTAAGTGTCACTGGTTGGAAGAGTTGCGGATGGATGGTTGTCTACAGCTGGGGGATTGTGTGGCATATACAAGCCTTGCTGCAAGATGTGGTTTCCATTCCTTGAAGGTATGACTTATTCCAACCTTTCTTCTGTCAGTGAATATTAGAGGTGAGATTAAAAGGATTCTGAGTCCAAGAGCTGTTTTGAATGTTAATACACTTTTGTTTTCTCTTTAGATTTTGGACCTGCGAAATACAAGAATGGGTGACAGTGATGTGGCCTGTTTCAGTCTTTCACTCAGGCTGACTCATCTGTATCTGCAGTGTCCATCTGTTGATAATGAAGTTAGTGATGACTTACATGGTGATCCAAACTGTGTGGAGGGATAGTAAGTTGCTGATCATAGAGTTAGTAACTGTCTGTTTTACCAAGTCCTCTTCTCTGTGGATAAGAAAAAAATACATAATTTTATGTTTTTAACTTTGTGGGCGGTGTATATGGATGTAAAACTTTATCTACAAGGGTCATACTGAAAGTCATGAGCAACAATTTTTTGTAACGTAACACTGCTTTATTATTGACAAACCAAATACACCACCTCAATCTACAGACCTTTCTTTATTTTTCCACATAATCGCCACTTCTTTGTACACATTTCTCCCAGCGTTCTGGGAGCTTGAAAATTCCCCCTCTATAAAATTCCATTCCAGCCATCTGAAGACACTGACGCACTGCTTTCTAAATTGCCTCCCTTGTCTCAAACCGTTGTCCACGCAGCTGATCCTTCACAAGTCTGAAAAGATGGTAGTCAGAGGGTGCCAGATCAGGGTTATAGGAGCGGCATGGGGGCAAGTGTTGTCATGCAGGATGATGATGTTTCATCCTGGATGATTATCGCGCAATGCACAGCAGGGCTTGTGCAGCATCTGGACATAATGAGCAGCATTGATGGTTTGCCCAGGTTCCAGGAACTCGGCCAGAATAAATGGTGAAACCAGCTTTCGTCACCTGTCACAATACAGAGCAAGTCCTTTTCAAGTCGGAAGGATTCTGTTGTTATTTCCATAATGGGTGTCAGTAGGCCTAATACTAGAAACGATGGGGAAAGATGTGCGTCTATTCTTCTTGTTGATTCCTTGTTCAGAAAGCTAGCAGATTTTCTGTAAGTCAGAAAATATTGTAAGGGTTACATTGAAAGTCCGTGATAGTCATTGCCTGTCTTCTTAAACTGTTTTAGTTATTCGGTATCCATGAATTATCTTCACTATATGCATCCTGTTGTGTATTCTGATTGGTGGTATTTGGCTGTCAACACAACAATAAAAGTAAACCAATCGAATTGCTCACGTTGAGGCACACAGAAGTGTAGTTGGTTGAGGCACTGTGCTACAAGGCAGAAGGTGGGTTCGATTTGTGATGAGGTCATTGAATTTTTCAATTGACCTAATCCTTCCAGCCACACTATGGCCCTGGGATCAACTCAGCCTCTAACAGAAATGAGTACCGGGAATTTTCCTGGGGGTAAACGGTGGCTGGCATGTAAGGCTGACAGCCTCACCGCCATCTGTTAGCCGATTGTCTAGAAAATGTTGGAGCCTCAATGTCTCTCAACCCTATGGGTCTTCAAGGCATGTTACAGGGATACAGTAATTCTTTACTGCTCACATTGGTTTTAGTTTATAGTTGCTACATGTTTCGATCCATATTAGGACAGTTCAATAACAGGAGACATATTTGATGAGACTGCGTGAAGATGGTCCCAAATGTCGACAAAATATGTAGGAAAAATCAGATAAAACCAACGTGGGCAGTTGGATTGGTTTATTTTTATCGTTGTGTTGACAGCCAAATACCGTCAAATTTGCTTTCCAAACAGGATGGGATAGATTGTTTGCATTTCATGCTGTGTCTCTATGAAATTTGTGACCATCATAACAAGTGGCTTGAGCATCATGGAATTTGCTTGCTTCCAAAATTGTTATGGCATTGTTTCACGAATTTAGAAAGTGCACATTTTTTATCCAAGATAATTTTGTGAAATAATTATTTGTGTTCAATGTCAGACTGAAATATCTAAATGATTTTTGCTGCAGTGATTTCCTGGACTGCAATGATGACGATGACACTGATGCTCCTTCATTAATAGAAGACAGCTATGGTGGTTTCTCCCCATTAGGTCTTCCACGTCTACTTCCTCTCAGCACACTGCCAGATCTTTCAGCAAGGTGTTCAGAGAGAACACTGCAGTCAGATTCTAGGCGTGCAGTGGAATCCAGAAGCAATCCATCTGGCCTGGCTTCACATGACGAAAGAGAAGAGAATGGAGATTTCTCCTTTCCACAGGCTTCCACATCATATGGAGGCACGAACACTGTGTTGAACCTGCCTGGACCATCACACATTGGGCCAAAAGCGGGGTCACTCAAGAAACATCCTTTAGAGGATTCGGATTCAAGTAGTGATGAAAATTTGTTTTCATCTGTTGCCTTTCCTATATCAGGTCCCGAAATGCATAAACAGATACGGACATCTGAAGAAGGTTCACATCTACCAATCAGTCAAGCCTCTTGTATGAGTGCATCTGAAGCAGGCTGCAGGGGCAAGAAGCGTCGGCACTCTTCCAGTGACCATAGTTCTAATGAACCAAGTACATCCACACATTCATTTATTGAATCACCCAGTTGTTCTATAAATGATGTGAATAGAAGACTGAAAGATGGAGATTCGTTATGTCAGAAGTCAAAACTTCCAGACTCTTCAACAGGTAGTACACAAGCAGTAAATTGCAGACAGGCGAGTGATGTGTCCAAAACAAATAGCAGTGAGCAAGGAAGAAGTTTGAGAGCAGATGATAGTTTATGTGGAAGTTTGTTTTATTGCCCTTTTCATGACTCCAATGCTGAATCATTAATTTCAGACGTGTGTACCATGGCATTTGTCTTGAAGGAGCAGCATGGAAGTGACGGATCAGGGTATGTAAGGATTGTATCACCGCAGGCAGTAAGTGCCAGACCTCAACTCCACACACTTGTTGTAAAGAACTACAGAAAGATTACTGATAATAGCCTGAGATGCCTGCTTAGGCTTAATAGCTTACGTTATTTGGATATATCAGGGACTTCGGTGACCCAGAGGGGTGTCTTGGAGTTCCAGTTGAAGCGACCTGATGTTGAAGTTATATCTGATTACAGGGACCTCCCTATTTAATCATGTGTTGTTGGAATTTATATTTAAAGTTACACAGTTTGTCTTATTTCCCCCGATACAAGCCTCATTTTAGCCATTTCATGTTCTTTTGGTTCAGATTCTTGGTCTGCTCCCTCAGAGAAACATTAAATAGGGATTTCGCTATGTGGTGTACTTTTGATTTGTGAAAGGAGAATCTACTGCATTTATGTATCAAACTGAGATAGAAGTAAGTATCTGAAACATTCTGAATTTATTATACTTTTCAGAAGTTGCCTGTGTCAGAACAGTATTCATGAGTTAGTATTTGAAAGTTGTTTTACGCTGCAGCTGAAATGATGCCCGCCTGCAGGAAGTAACAAACAATTGTGCCTCTTGGATCCACTTAATGTCTTCTTCTGAGTTACCACATGTGTTATCAGACTGGTTTGATTTTAGAATGGAAATCTAATGCACTCCCCATTTATAACAGAAGTTAGTATGTCTGCAGTTGTGCTATCAGCGTTATATTTTCTGTATTGCCTTGAGCTCTGCATTTTCTGCTTTTCTGTTAGGAATTCTAATGCAATAAATTTCTCCAGAGAATCGTGTTTTGAAATTACGATTTCTTGGTGGTTTTATTTCGAAATAGGCCTATGCATAAAAATGACCTCTGAAGATATTTGTAATGAAAGAAATATAAAAAGTATGTAAAAGTTGACGTATGTTTCGAAGAAATGTTCTGCCTGCATCCTCTGCTCTGAAGATGGAGGCAGCACCTTTTTTAGAAAGATTGGTAAACTTCTACCCGACTATATGTCGTCACCTCATTGGAGTTACTACACTGAAAACCTCAGATCCTCCATGAAAAAAAATTAAATCTGTGAATGTTACGTGCGTGGTTATGAGCATTTTATGGAAAATACGAAAACCTATGTTCATTTGCGAAGACAGAAGCATATAAAATTTATATGTTACTTCACTCTTTTGTTCTTTGCTCTCATGCCACGGAAGCCACTTAAAAACAGATTACGGGTCAGGATACCTGATATTTTATAATTTTTTCCCTTTATTTACAATCCTCTTTGTAAGTAATATTTTTGTAAATAATAATTCAAATATTCAATTCAGTCCAGAACCTTTTGTCTTCTCGTCTGCTGTCCAAAAGCATAAAAATTAAAATATACAGAACTATAATTTTGCCCATGGTTCTGTATGGGTGTGAAACTTAGTCTCTGACATTAAGGGAGGAACATATATTGAGGGTATTTGAGAATATTTGGACCAAAAAGAGGTTGGAGAAAACTGCACACTGAGGAGCTTCATAACTTGTACTCTTCTCCAAGTATAATTAGAATGATCAAGTCAAGAAGGACCATTGGGAAGACCAAGGTGTAGGTTGGTGGACAATATTAAAATGGATCTTAGAGAGATAGGATGGATTGGATTGATGTGGCTCAGCATAGGGACCAGTGGAGGGCTCTTGTGAACACAGTAATGAACCTTCGGGTTCCATAAAATGCTGGATTTCCATGCAGCAAATTTATTTTTAATATTTAAACCACCTGATAAAGAGTATGTAAATTTTTGTGTTACAAATGCATTGCATGTAAATTATCTGCATAATGGAAATCCTGAGGCTTTTCATATTTTCCCCTCAGTCCTGCCAGGAAACTACCTTAAATTAAGTCACCCTTCCTCCCTACTCATCATTCCCTAATGATACCACCATTACAAGCTCTGTAGCCCAAATTCTGAGACAGCTGACAAGCATATTGCAGAATAAGACGTTTATTATCTTGGCATTGCAGGGTCAAGGCCAGTTAAACAGAAATGCATTGGTAGGGTTGTTTCAGCATGACGGGCTCAATGACAAATGCCAGTTCCAGGCAGTCAGTCTAACAGTCCTTATACCAAATATTAGCCAACTCCATTCAGTTGCACCTTTCCAGAGAAGCTGCTAGTTGCTCAACTACACAATGAATTACCAACAAGTTATGGAATGGAAGGGTCATTACCAGGTGCCAGATGAATTCATTCCATATTCACTTCTTTAAGCATACAGAATACACAGCAGCAGCCTACCTTCACACTCTTCTGAGGACAACTGCAACTCGTAAATCCATTTATGCACTGCCCACTACTTTATATGGCGAAGAGACACAAAATTGAACACACATTTCAGGATGGCTGGAAGACATTATTTCAGAGTGTTTGCAATTGTAAACAAGTTATTCAGTACACAGCTTCACCTAATCCAGAACCCATTCATTTCTTGTCACAGAACCCTGAACACGTGACAATATTTTGCTTGCAATGACCAATAAAGCATAGTTTGTGTTCATCTGAGCAATCCATAATAGTTAACTCAATATACTCAACCCAAATGATGTAGCAATATGTGACTAACTGCTCAACGCATGAGTAACAAATGACGCTGGAGAATTATGTTTATAAGCAGTCAATAAATTTCGGTGACTAAATTCTACTAATTATTAGCTTCCGCTGCTGAATTAACATAACTGTAGGAGAATGTCATGTCATGTCTGTTTCCACTCAACAAGACAGGGTCTTGTACACATTGAACAATCAAAATTAAACGGCCACTGATACCCAGTGACAGTTTGTACCATGGGACTCAGTTCATTCCTCGTCAGAAATAGTTAACAAACAACTCCAATATCTTGTATTCCACAAACATGCCGCATACAACACACGGTAAAAAAATTGTCTTATTTGCAACATGAAATACTGTGGCATGCTACATGTCACAAACTGTTCCTTAGTNAAATGGCCGCTCCCCACTATGTATGCGCTGATGTGTCTTCAGCAGACACTGCTGACTAAATGACTTATTACATACATCACATCTAAATGGCCGCTCCCCACTATGTATATGTTGATGTGTCTTCAACGCACCCTGCTCTCTGAATGACTTATTACATACATCACATCTGAATGGCCGTTCCCCACTATGTATGCGCTGATGTGCTGTCAGTGTACTGTGCTGATTGAATGAGTTATTACATACATCACATCTAAATGGCCGCTCCCCACTATGTATGCGCTGATGTGTCTTCAGCAGACACTGCTGACTAAATGACTTATTACATACATCACATCTAAATGGTCGCTCCCCACTATGTATGCGCTGATGTGTCTTCAGCAGACACTGATAACTGAATGACCTATTACATACATCACATTTAAATGGCCGCACCCCACTATGTATGCGCTGATGAGACGTCAGATTACCCCGCAAATTGAAAGACTTAGTACACACATTACATTTAAATGGCCGCGCCCCACTATGTATGCGCTGATGAGACGTCAGATTACCCCGCAAATTGAAAGACTTAGTACACACATCACATTTAAATGGCCGTTCCCCACTATGTATGCGCTGATGAGACGTCAGATTACCCCGCAGACTGAAGGACTTACTACACACATCACAGAAAAATGGCCGCTCCCCACTATGTATGCGCTGATGTGTCTTCAGCAGACACTGCTGACTAAATGACTTATTACATACATCACATCTAAATGGCCGCTCCCCACTATGTATGCGCTGATGTGTCTTCAGCAGACACTGATAACTGAATGACTTATTACATACATCACATTTAAATGGCTGTGCCCCACTATGTATGCGCTGATGTGTCGTCAGATTACCCTGCATATTGAAAGACTTACTACACACATCACATTTAAACGGCCGCTCCCCACTATGTATGCGCTGATGAGACGTCAGATTACCCCGCAGATTGAAAGACTTACTACACACATCACAGGAAAATCGACGCTCCGCACTATGTATGCGCTGATGCCTCTTCAGAGCACCCTTCCAACTGAACAACTTATTACACATGTCACAGAAAAATGGCCACTCCACAGTATGTATTCGCTGATGTCTCTTCAGATTTCTCTTAAAACTGAATGATTTATTACACACATTGCAACAAAATGGTTGTTCCCCACTAAGAATATGTTGATGTGCTACCAGAATTAGTTGTTGGCTGACTGAATCACCACACTCATCGCAGGAATATCGTTTCTCCTCACCATGTACTGGCTGAAGTTCATTCAAAGTACTCTGGAAAATGAGAGGAAATAACATGAGAAATCATAGTATGAAGAAAAATGCGTTTGAAGCCCAAGCACAGTGAGATGTTAAATCAGTAGGCATGAGGAGGTGAGAGAAGAGAGGAGAGCAGGGAGGGAGGGAGGGAGCACATATCCCCTTGTATGGTGCACGAATCGATCAACATGAATTCTGAATGAAGCTGCACTGCCAGTGTCTAACAAATTGTAAAATTAAATAAAACTACGCATTGGTAAGGCTGGACAGGTGACCAATTAATAGTGGATAGGCTCCTAAAATGAAGTAACAATGAAGGCTGAGTTAAAAAATCGCATCAAGACAGGCTGCGTATGGCCCAGTAAAATCTGTGAGACAACAATATATANCAATCGTGTCTCATTCGAGGGCATGTAAGGATGACTTCCTGCTTCCTGATGGAACCAAATGACTGCCACAACAGAATACCATAGTTGGACCGACTGCAATCTGGTATGCTGTGTGTTGGTCCATGTCTTGCCATGATGAGATGAAAGGGTAAAGAAGTAAGCCAGAAGCATTACCACCCAGAGGTTCTTCTGCTGACAAACTCCCAAAGAACACAACTTCTCTTGCTGCTGCAGGTAATGGTGGAGCAGTGGATCTTCCTTAACTGTGTTTTATTTGCACTGCAAAGGTGTCGTTGAAGTGAATGCCATTAATGGGGGAAATTCCACCCACAACAAATAATGTAAACAAGAGTTAATAAGTACTGCTACAGTTGAGGTTACCACATGCCTGTAAACTCAGACTGTAGCATATCATCTATGAACTGTATTAAAAAAGGAATCGTAATCCAACAACCCAAAAATAACTCCACCCATTCCAAACTAATGATAATACTGTGTTAAAATAATAGTTTAATCATAGTTCATGCTGAAGAACATTCCAGACATAATAGTGGTCATATTTAACACTTGATCCACACAGAATAAATCCCTATGCAATAGTCTTTCTTTTAAATTTACACAGAGGGAACTGTGACCAAGAGCATTCTCAGTTCTCAGCAACTGACTGCTCAAGTTTGCTGGACCTGAGCTTGTCGCGGTGGTCACCATGAAGGGTACTGTCATCTAGGATGTGAGAAGTTTCCCAAGCAAGCAGCAACATCACGCAGCTCTGCTTACTGCAGCTTGCATGGTTTAGCCTTCGACCACGAAGATGGAGGCATAAGTTTGTCCGTAACTTCAGACAACTTTTGATAGACTACACGGCATCAAATCCCAGAAGAGAAACACCCGTATGAGAACCTCAAATTCAAATGTACACTCTTCCAGTTGTTTACCATTCAGTGCATTATTTTTATCTAAATACACATATTGTGGCAAGTAGATTCGTTGCTAGACAATGACCGTGAAACAAACAACTATACAACAGCAACTGATACATAATTGATCCACAAAATGCGTGTTTCCACAGCAACAAGAGAACATATAAATAATGGAAGAGATATTCACTACACAGTCCATGTCAAGATGTTATAACCAGGACCAGTTAGCTGTTGCAGTCAGTCAGACAACCACTGCAGTTCAGTCATTGTAAGCTGTTGGTGTTAGAAGCTGGTAGCTGATGGTGGGGACAGTCCAGGGAAACGTCTGCCATTGGAAGCCGCTATCAAGCAACAGCAGTGAGAAAGTAACTGTGGACACTTGTGTGGGTGTGTAACAGTGACAATATAGTCATATGATGTATGAAAGAGTCCACTAAATCCAATTACCAATCAAAACCTTGGTCTATGGTCACTCAACCACATGACAGTATATTCTTATTATCTTTCTTAATGTTGAAAACGTTATTATGCGAGGGTGCATACAGATAAAGCTGTGACAATGAGCTAACACTTGTGCAACCTCTCGCGTAAGCGCTGATGACTTAAGACCCATGGCATATATTACATTAACAGTTATGTGTAAATGAGAGTATAAAGAGTGATCTAGCTAAAAATGATCTTTATTTTAATCCCAAAATAAAATTACACATTGTCATACAATTACCTAAAACATGTATTAATAACATGGTGATGTTCATTAATAGCCCTTTTTTGTTTGCTTAATTACATTAATCGTATATTCCATTTGACCATAATTATGTCTATGTTTTAGGATGTGTTGCTAATGCCAATACTTCACTATCGTTTTTATACCTCTTACACCTTCTCTGTACCTAATGTTTAGTCACTGTCCTTTCTAACAGAAAATAATAAGAAATCTGTCATGATAACCAGTCACCTGACAGCAGGTACAGAAGCAAATCTAACAGTGTCAGGTATAATAAATTTACTTCAAAGGGCAACAGGCAACACTATGTTATTACACGAATACAGAATGCATCTAAAATACGAAACAACAAATAATTTTAAACATTTATATATCCTAGGAATCCTATAATGTAGTATCATAGAACGGCTTAGTGGATTGGATAGACAAGGAAAACATACAAAATTCTTCTTTCTATGAAATTTATCTCAGATATTCTTCAGTTTACACAGTACTTAATTTCATCTATATTAGATCTCCTTAAAAGAAAATGGGAGCAGTTCATCTCAAGCAACATTCAACAAACTACAGTTGCCGAGGAAATCCTTGAAAATCTAGTTAACAGCACAGCAGAATTGTTTCATGAAAACAGACAGAGATGGAAATCATACAGACAACCAGTACTTCTGCACATTTGTGTCATCTGCCTAACAGTGCACATACAGCTCACCTCAGGTTCAGCCTTTATTTCTGGAAATGTTATTGGGACAGGATCCTCTTCCTCCTCTGCATCTGAGACTGCCTCAGCTTTTACCTTCATGGCCTGATCTGCATCATGAGATGTTGGGTGCATCTCACCATATGGGCCCACTAAAACGTTCTCTGAATTTGTATAGTCCTATAAAAACCATGACATCTTTCTCAGAAATGGACATACAACCCCATATATTAAACAGTGTATGCTCTCTTTGCTATGACTGTTTCTCATTACAGCTAATTCATTAGACCTGTATTGTACAGATGCTCTTCTCTACAGCTATCAAGATCATTAGAAAGTATTTGGTAAATAGCTCAGTGACCTGCCTGAGAAACATGCGGTCACTGAGGCAGTGCAAAAATATCTGCTTTTTATGGTACCTAAAAGCTGCTAAATGAGGAGCTTCATAACACGTAATCTTCGCCAAGCATAATTAAAATGATAAGTCAAAAGGCATGAGATGAGCAGCTCATATGGCAGGCATGGGGGACAAGATGAATGCATATAGGATTTTGGTGAGAAAGCCTCATAGACAGAGACTACTAGGAAGACCTAGGCATAGGTGGGAGGATAATATTAAAATGGATCTTCAGAGACATAGGATGGGGTGGTGTAGACTGAACTGATATGCCTCAGGATATGGACCGGTGATGAGTTCTTGTGAATATGGTGACGAACTTTCGGGTTCCATACAATGTTGGGAAATTCTTCAATGGCCAAGCGACTGGTGGCTTCTCAAGGACTCAGCTCCATGGAGTTAGTTATGGTACCTAAGGGATCATTACTGTGATCACGCATGTTCATTATGGCTCTGTATCCTAAGGCAAACAGAGTACAAACCCAAAATATTTCTTTAAAAATCTACCTTAATAGCACCTTCCCTTCTGCTCTCAGGCCTCCCAAGTGGACTGCTCCTCTCAGGTTTCCTGTCCAAAACTTTGTAAGCATTTCTCACTCTTGCATATGTGCTACAGGACTTATGCATATCACCCTCCTACATAATATACCAAAGCGTTGCAATGTCTACAATGAAGCATAAGAAATTCTCAAGGTGGATGATGAAAACAAACAGAAGCATGTCATATTTCATTCCTTTGGCCACGAGAACTGACATACGACAATAAAATGTTTGTCTTTTCAGACAAGCACAAAACATTCATAATGTTTCCTCTCACAGCAGGAAATGTCTTTTCAGCGCTGTGGAGTAAAATTCTTGGCAGTCTTGTTGCAAGAGAATGCAGAATCTTTCATAACCCTGAAACTTTTTTACCACATGACATTTTGTGTGGTTCACTGGAATTAGCTGACAAGAGTCCTTTGGTTCTAAGTGTATCAGCGCCTAACTGTGAACAGTTCCATAACTCCGTATGGATTTTTGCTGCCAGACAATTTCTCTGAAACACTGTTCAGTTTACACAATAATTAATTTCATCTACATTACAACTGCTTAAAAGGAAACGGAAGTGGCACATCACAAGCAATATTCGACTAACTACAACTGTCCAGAGACACTTCAGAAACAGGTCTTCAAAGGCTAGCTGGCAGCACAGTGGAGTTTTTTCATGTCTACAGAAAAGACAAGACAGCCAGACAGATGGAGATGAGACAGACAACTGGCATTTCTACACATTTGTGATATGTGCCTAACAGTGGACATACAGCTCACCTCAGATTCAACCTTTATTTCCTGAATTGTTATTTGCAGAGGATCTGCTTCCTCTTGTGACTCAGAGAATTCCTCAGCTTTTATATTCATGGCCTGGTTTGCATGATGACTTGATGGGTACATCTCACCATATGGACCCACTAGAACTTTCTCTGAATTGGTACAGTTCTATAAAACCATCACATCTTTTATTAGTTATGGTTGTACAACACCATACATGAAACAATATATGCTATCTTTGCTGTAGCTGTTTTTCATTACATCTACTCCATAACAGCTGCTCTGTACAGATTTCCTTTTTACAGACTTCAAAAACCTTGCAAAGTATTAAGTTCATAATGTAGGGACCATCAAAAGAAAATTATGATCCCTGTGTAAGTACAGAAAATATCTGAACTTTATGGTACCTAAGAGCTCATTACTGTGTTCACATATGCCCATCATGACTTTGCATCCTGACACAAACAAACCCAAGTCCAAACACCTCAAAATTATATCTTTAAAACCCATTTGCACAAATTTTTCCCAAGTAGTATCATTCTTTCAGGTTTTCTTTCTAAATCTTTGTACACACTTCTCATTCTAACATGTGTGCTATACAACCTACCCATAGCGCTCTCCTTGAATTGAACCCTGTCCTACATAATATACCAAATTGTTATAATATGAAGAAGCATGTAAACTCCCTAGAGGGGTTATGGAAACTAAGCTTGGCATAAAATATGTAGTTTCTTGCACTATGAGAACTGACAGATGACAATAAAATTTTTGTCTGTGCACACAAGGACAAAACACTCACCATGATTTCTCTCACAGCACAATATATTTCTTCAGCTCTTTGTAGCAGAATTCTTGGCATGCCTGTTGCAAGAGAATGCAGAACTTTTCACAAATTTGAAACCTTTTTCTTATCACCCACGATGGTTTGTGGGTTGCAAATTAATTGATTTACAAGAATACTAGTGATGTAGGACCATATTTCTAACAAGTGTACCAGCACCTAGCAACAAATATTTGTTCAAGTCTGTAAGGAAACATGCTAATGATTGTGTACAAACAGATTTTGATGTGGATTTCTTTGTTCTCACAGCAGACTATGAAGCTTCGCGTTTTATTATGCATTGTGAAGTCTGGCAGATTGTTCCTCAAGTTTCAAAGGCAGCTGGTTCGCCTGTTTTGGGTAAACCTCTTGCTTCCAAATAATCGGAAACAGACTACCAGACTGAACAGAATTACACTCTAGAAATAGCAGACCTACTCTACAAACATGTGTACATTTAGGCATGTAGTAGTGTAGTTGGTTGAGAGGCTATGCTACAAGCGTGAAGGCCCGGGTTCAAGTCCCGATGGGGTCATTGTACTTTTTTTTAATTGACCTAAACCTTCTTGCCGCACTATGGCCCAGGGATCGACTCAGCCTCTAATAGAAATGAGTACCAGGAATTAATTAAATAATTTTTGTTGGAAGTAATGAGCGGGCAGCGCGTAAGGCTGACAACCTTACCGCCATCTTTGAGCCGATTGTCTAGAAAATGTGGGGTTCTCAACGTCTCACAACCCCATGGGTATTCACGGCCTGGTACAGGAATAGCTTTACTTTTTTACTTTTACAGATTTCTATCGCGGAGCCACACTATGCATTTCTACAGCCCGCAACTTCGACCAGATCACCTAAGACCATCACCTCTCATGAATTCCTTTGTAAGTCGGTCTGGTATGTGTTACAGGCGACAAAGGGGTATATAAACAGAAAAAAATCTGCATTCTACTAGAAACATGCTCAGAAAGGGCACTGAGGTGTTTACAGAAATCACAAGATGAACTTGCAACAGCGAAGTAATAACACGAATCCCAACGGTGTTCGTTTCTAACAATCTGTCAACGACCTTCATTTCCATTTGTTTGTGCTTGTGAAATGAAATGTATGTATGTATGTATGTATGTATGTATGTATGCAGAAGTTCAATTTCTTTAGAATGATCGTAATGATTCCCGAAAGAGTACACTCAACTTACCCGCCTACAATCAAAACGCAATACACAGTGACACTATAATGAACAATGATCCAATTGTTATGATTGTGATCAATGACCGCTTTCCATCGTTACCGATCGTTATCGTCGCTGCAAGAGATTGTGGTACCGTAGTCCACGGATAGAGTGTTGCACACTATGATGTTCTGGGCACCTGGGTTTCTGAGAACTGGGGTATGAACCCTGCCGGTCCTTGCTCTGATTTGCGACCGGTATTTGGTGATCATTGTTGCCAACGGAACGCGAAAGGTATGAGTGCTTGTCGTTGTAGTAATTTGTAATTAAAGTGTACAAAACGTATTTCTGTAGAATTATTCCGGCTTACGCTCTGTAATTTAGAAAGTCTTGTAGATGAACTGAAATATTAGAAATGTTTAAAAAGTAAGGGAATTTCTAATTCAGTTATGTGAATAAACATACATATTAACGTTACAGTGCAAGATCATACCTGTAATCTATTTAATAAATTAATGTTCATTTATATTAATAAGTATTTTCAGCGGTCTTATAGTGGAATGTCTGAAGTTTTGTAATGATGGCGGTTGTTTAATTGCATCATTCTGTCCCCTTATTTTTCACTACTTGCCTGTTTCGATCAGTACGTTTGTTTCGTGAAGTGAAACACAAAATAAAAATGAAAGTTTAGTAGATGTTAAACGTATAAAATGTTTGATAAAAAAGTGCGTTTTTCGCAACATGATAGACATTGATGCATTGCTACTTTTAGGCTCACTACAGTGTTGCATTTTTGGTGTTTCGCTGTTAGAAATATGTTTTCGACACCATGATGGAGGCTGTTCCTTCTTTGGCTTCAAGTGTAGTATTGCTGTTGGTGTTCAGCTGTTAGAAATATGTTTTCCACACTTTAATGGACACTGGTGCACCATTCTTCATGGGCTGAGAATAGTTTTTTTTTTTTTTTGGCATCTGCTCACTGGAACTGTACCTGTTTTTATGGTGGTCTGCAAAAGAGCTGACAGTAGTGTCTATAGCTGTGAAGTGGAGGTAATCTCCATTCTTGGTTCTCACTGTGGTGTCTGTTGCTGGTAAATGGAGGTAGTCACCGCTCTTGCTTTGTGCTGTGCAGATGTGTTGGAGTGTGATATGTGAGTTGAGACTTGTCTCCATTCAGTTGTCATGCACACCACACTGCCAACACATCTGAGCAAGACCTAAAAACAAGAACAGTTACAATGAAAGAGGAACAATGAGAAAGTAATAGTATGTCAGGAGACCATGAATAATAGTACATCATAGTGCTCATCAAGTTAATGGAAAACATATTCTGAGAGCTGAACACCAACAATAAATACTGCACTGTGAGCCTTCGAGCATCACAGTGTCCATCAATTTACGGAAAACACATTTTTATCAATCTGACATTTTATACCTTTAACGTCTATAAACAATTAATTTTTTATTAGTGATTCACTTCACAAAACATGAATGCAGTGTCTCACCATACACATAATATATTTGTTAATGGAGTTATACAGACTGAAACGTGTCGTGTAAACTGTGAGAAAGAAACAAGTGGAACGATGCAGCGAGACATCAGCCACACAGTCATCACAGAATTCCACAAGCGTTGCATTATAAGATGGAAAACACCAAGTGATAATGAAATGGAACAGGATGCCAACATACAAGATTCACGGATATAAGTTTGTTAATATTCCACACCAGTAGTTAGAATGGATATATATACTTGCCATTTTGTTTTCATGTCTTGTGACTTCAGCTTTCAGGGTTTAGTCACTTTATATTCTGAAGCTGTTCCAACATTTTGGCTACCTTACTGTCGCAAATGTGAGGGGGAATGAGGCAGACGGAGCAGGTGAACCAATATAGAGGTCTTGCAATGAGCATAATGGTAGTGGTATAAAGCAGGTTCTATCCAATGGTAAAGGGTCAGGAGAGTGGAAAAAAAGAAATGTAGCCAGTCTTTATTCCATCTTTATCCATTACACAGGTGAAGCTGAGGGGGTGTTTGACAATTTGGGTATGGAAATGACAGTGTGGATTTTTGCAAGGATTTCAGGCTGTGAATTTTGATGCTGTATTTCACCTCAGGGGAGTGTTTCACTACCATAAATATTGGTTTTCTAGATTGGAGTGTACATGTTATTTTGTGCTACAATATGCTGCTTGGATTAGATAAAATATATAGTTGAAAGGGATTAGGAGGGAGTTGAATTGGATAGGACAGGTGTTAGGCGACAATAGCATAAAATATTTGAGGAGGCAAATTAGATGCACTGTAGTAATTAAAATCTTAGCACTGTCTGTAATCTGAAACATCCCCAGGTTCCTGGTACATAGGCTGTATATGTGTGCTACCAAGACTGGAAAATAAACCACGATACAGGATATGACATGGGGGCACATGGTAGCGTAGTTGGTTAAGGGGCATGCTACAAGCCGGAAGGTCGCAGGTTCAAGTCCTGATGAGGTCACTGGATTTTTTCAATTGACCTAATCTTTCCAGCTGCACTATGGCCCTGGGGTTGACTCAGCCTCTAACAGAAATGAGTACCAAGAATTAATTAAACAGTTTTCCTGGGGAGTGCAGTGCGGCCAGCGCGTAAGGCTGACAACCTTACTGCCCTCTTTGAGCAGATTGCCTGGATAATGTGGGACCCTCAGTGTCTCACAACCCTATGGGCCTTCACGGTCTGTTACAGGGATAGCTGTTTTTTTTTTAACAGGATATGACACACACATGAAGAACAACCCCATGTTGCGACAATATGGAATAATCACATCCATATCCACAAGTTAACAACAGTGTGCACACTTGTGACCCACAGTTCAATTCAGTACTAAGAACCCGCATCAAGAGTCCATGTAGTTGGATGGTGACTTAGCGGGCAGGCAAAATGCTCTAATTTGGAAGATTCATGTTTTAGCTGGCACTGTCTTGACTGTGGTACTTTATGTTTTTTGCTCAGTTTGGGAGAATGCTAAGATAATTGACCGTGAACACTTTCTGTCCCATCCACGATTCTCGCTACAAAGTAACCTCTGCATCTGGTGACAGTGACATTAAATAGCATACAGTCTAAACAACCAGCTAAAGTAGACATCAAATGAAAGCAGAACATGTGCAGTGTGTAACATAGAATTCTTGTTTGATGTAGGAATTTTGATATGTTTGAAGAAAGAGTGCCATTAAATCACCTTAAATGTGTTATTTTGTCATACTTGACTGTGACTATTAATTTCAAAGCTTTTGTCAGTATGCTCTACATCACTAATTCAACAATTTTTGTGAGCTGTTCATTATATACACAAGTTACCCATGGAAACTGTTCACAATATCTCCAAATTACCCACCAAAATCAGTTTTATATAGATTTGAATATGTTAATTCAGCCTTTGGTTGCTTACACTATGTAGGGGCTGGTACTGTATACAGACCAGTCCCCTCTTCCCCCATGGTTCTCCTGAAACATAAACCTATATACATGCACTAACAAACTAACTTCACGGAGCTGAGCCCTTCTTGAGAAGCCACCAATTTTGCAGCTCCTTAAGAATTTCCCACCATTTTATGGAACCTGAAGGTTCATTACTGTGTTCACAAGAAACTTCAACTTGTCTGTATCCTGAGCCAGATCAATCCAATCCATACCATCCCATTCTGTGTCTGTACAATCCATTTTAATATTGTCTGTCCACCTATGTCTTTGTCTTCCTAGTGATTTCTTCCCTTCTGGCTTTCCCACCCTATGTGAATTCCTCTTCTCCCCATCCATGCTACTTGCCCTACCCATCTCATTCTCCTTGACTTGATCGTTCTTATTATACTTGGCGAAGAGTACACATTATGAAGGTCTTCACTGTGCAGTTTTCTCCAACTTCCTGTCACTTAATCTCGCTTTGGTACAAATATTCTCAACACCCTCAACCTAAGTTTCCTCCCGTAAAGTCAGAGACAAAGTTCCATAAATTTCCCTTTAAATCTTTATTTCACAGGTCATCAGGGTGAATACCATTTTCCCTGTGAGTGTTCAGGTTTAACAGCCATATAGTATAATTGCTGTCATCATAAATTTAGTTTTATGTGTTCTTATTTTCATGCTCTTACTTATATACCTCTTACTGAGCATCTTATTCAATGTGTGAAAGCACCAGTTGGCAGTTGCAATTTTGTCTTCTATATTGTATTCTGTTTCTTTTTAAGATGTAATTATTGAGCCTAGATATTTGAATGTGTCTACCCTTTCAAAATTTTGTTCATTTAATTCAACATTTTTTTAGCTACGTTTGCAGTTTCTTTAGTTTTCATATACTTAGTCGCGTCAGTGTTAATTACCAGCCCGGTAGGTACAGCAGCTGTTTGAAGTTGTGTAAGGACTTCTTTTAATGCTCTTGCAGATTTGTCAATTATTCCTGCATCAACAGCGTAGGCAATAAATTGCCGAGTTCTGTTGAAAATTGAGCCACGTGTTAATTGCTATATAGATAGAGAATCTTCTTGTCTGATGCTGCATTCTCTAAAACCTGTTGACAGCTTATCCTGGATTTTAACTTTATTGTATGCCCTTGACGAGGTCATTTTGGTAAGAGATTAACTTAGTAGGCATAGCAAATTCTTTCATTGCTTCTATTATCGGAAACTGGTCAGTGCTGTCAAATGATTGTTTGAAGTCAATACTGGCATAACTGATGTTATATTCATGTGATCTTTCTAATATTTGCCTAATTCAGTAGTTCTGAAGCCTTTCCTAAAGCCACTTTGTGACACCGATCTCTTCCAACCCGCCTTTGATGTCGGCTTGGTCAGATTGATGCTATCCATACTACACCTTTTTCTGTCTCCTGACAGGGATATTGAATATGCAGGGATGAACTGATAGCATATTTTTACTTAGGTTGAGTGCCACTGCAAGTTGTACTTGTGGAGTTAACTAACGGAAGTAGGTAGGGATGTTGGAATTCACCAAATGACAAGTCCATTCCTTTGATGTTAATTCATTTACAGTATACTGCTTTTGCATCACCAGAACATTCACTACACAATTTAATTCATTGTAGGTAATTTGCCAATAAATGCAGTTTCTTCTTTTACTTTAATAATAATAAATTTAACTGAATTAAATTTGTATCCTTATGGAGAATTGGTGATCAAACTTTAATGAAGTCAAACAAGAGCTTAAGATTTCTATGTGTATGTTAACTAGTTTTTGGAATGTGCAGAAATCACATTCATACATTTCAGATTGTTGAGGAAAAGAAATTTCTA